GGAAGTTGACTGGTCCAATGGTTCTCTTATTTTGGTCCTCCAGGTATTTTGGATATCAGCTCCCAGAAGCTCTAGCCAGCATGGCTAGTGGTCAGACATTCTGGGAGTTGATGTCTAATACATCTGAGAAGCATTTTATGATTCCATAAAATAGAGCCATGGCAGTGAAAGAGCTGTCACACTGCTATAACTGGGTAGTGTGGATCATCCCGGGTTTTTTTTGGAACAGTTCATTAAATAATGACAACAGGTTACTTTTCAAAGAAGGTGTAATGGGAATGAGCTTTATAATTCTTGTTTCTCAAAAGAAGATGAAACACATTTGAAATTTGTCGACTGGAACCAGTGGTTCAGGAAGGCAGATGTGAACCCTAGAGCAATGCTCTTTGCTTATCCTTTTGGAATCAGAGCTTGGACAAGTTATTTTTTCAGGGGCAGCAATTCCCAGCATTCCTTGCCCAGTGGCCACAGTGATGTCTCAACCCCCCAAAATTAACTTTTCCAACTCATCTAGGGATTTACTTTCGGTACCAAATACCCTAAAGGCACCCAAACCTGTTTGAAAGTCTTGGAAGCTAAGCAGGGAGAACCCTGGTTATTACTTGGATGGATATATTTCAGAGGAAGGAAGAGGCAAAACTGCTTCTGAGTATTCCTTGCCTAAGAAAGCTCTATGAAATTCATGGGGTTGCCATAAGTCAACAGGCAACTTGAAGGCACACACATCCAAGATCTATTGCTCACAGATACTTCCTTTCACAATCAGATCCCAAATGTTTTCCTTGTCTGAGCTTTCTTGATTTGAGCAGCCTAATTTAGGAAAGGAAATATGTGTTTTCCTCTATTCTTACACAATTGGTAACCAGGTGCCCTTATTAATTTTGTCTAGTGATAATGAATCGGAAACTACTGGTGCTATATCAACAGATTATGGCACCTCTCCTCTTGCCATGTGCTCTTTATTCATTTCTGATATCTTGAGATTTGTATTTTCAAGATAATTTTATCCCCTGCGGTCGCAGTGGCTAAAAATATTTCCTTGCAATAACATGATTTGAAGAGCGCTTTCCAGAGAAACACTGTGACAAGGCCGGGTAGAATTGGTTCCTCACTCCTCTCTATATTTATCTACGCACACACTTAAAACCTAGTAAAAACATTTTATTGGTGAGTGGCTGAGATGGTTATAGTGTGCAAGTGTCCTTGGTCCATACTCATAAACCCTTCAGGACCATGATGGGCAAAGCTAGTTGTAGGCAAATCCCATTGAAATAACAGACTTTTACAGCTCTTTCCACACTGTGGAAATAAAGCAGTTCGACACCACTTTAATGGTCATGGATCCATCCTGGGGTTTGTACCTTGATGAGGTATTTGCCCTGGTCTGTCAGAAAACTCTAATGCCATATTAAACTACAAATCCCAGGATTTTGTACGACAGAGTCATGGCAGCTAAAGTGTAGTCAGACGGCTTTATTTCTGCAGTGTGGATACACAGAGGGTTTATGAGTATGGACCAAGGACTCAGAGAGTTGACACCCAGGGCTATCTAGTCTAATCTCCTGCCATGCAGGAATACACAACCAAAGGAGTCCTGAAAGATGCCCATCCAAGCTCTGTTTAAAGTTCTCCAACGATGGAGGCCACCACTGTTTATGATTCCATTCCACTCTTGAACAGCTCTTATAGTATCTTATGTTTATCTATGTCAAAGTTTATTTTGTTAATTTTGGCTCAGGACGCCAATCTGTTAAAGTCATTTTGAATCCTGATCCTGCCCTCTACCTATTCCTCCTTATTTGGGTGCCATCTGCAAATTTTATAAGCATGCCCTCTGTTCCATCATCCACCTCAAGAGCTCAGCCTCAGGTGTATTTACTCAAAAGAAAGCTTGATAGTTTCCTCCCAAGAAAGTAGTTACTTAAAATACTTGCATCCACAGATAACCAATTCCCAATTGATCTCTTTATAGGCTAAATCCCACTTATGTTCCAGTTCTGTCTAGCTGATTTTGGGGATCAGGTGCAACACCTTTGATGGCTTCTGAATAAAGCCAAGAGTGGATTTATCACACCACTGAGATCAGCCTCCTCCGCTGACAATGAACAGAGAGGCATCTGGTCTCATCATTTTATATATCAATGAGCTGGGAGTTGGGAGAAATGGTCCTCAGAGGCCAATTGTAATTGGAAAACTGAATTTAGCTGTTTTCATACCACCCAAATGACCTGATTTGACAGAGGCAGTCCTGATTCTGTCCCACTTTTTCAGCTGCTTTTAAAAGATCCCAATTTCTCTCTCCTCACACTTTCCCCTTGGTGCCAACCTGCAAGATATACCCCTCCATACCATCTGAACTGAGAACAAAATAGCAACTAACATCTTCAACTTTTTCCTCCTTCTGTATGGTTTGTAACACCTTGCCTGATGAAGAAGCCAATGGAGCTTTGAAAGTCTGCAACATGTATAATGTACATTTTGGTCGGCTCAATAAAGGTATCACTGTTTGGTGGATTTTTGATGTTATTGGGTTTGCTATATGGCCAACACGGTTCCCCCTTTGTCTTCGAGATCTCACACCTACTCTGTATCTCACATCTTTCACTTTTCAAAGTGCAAAAGTACTGGTCACCTTGCATACAATGAAAGATGCTGATTCCAAATACATGGGTGGTGGACGCACATGCCGTAAACATACTCTTGTCACGCTAATCCCCAGACAGCTGTAATATTTATATAGAACTGTTAACTGCCTAATAAGGGTGAAATGACATTGGGAAAGATTTAGTGTCCCAAACAGAGCACACATACAAACGATGCAGAAAAGGACAACCAAAAGGATGCGGGGATGGAGCAGCTCCCCTCAGAAGAAAGCCAAGAATGTTTGGGACTTTTTAGCAGAAATTGTACTAGTTAAAGATTTCCCATACCTTGGATCAAACATTGGTCTGAGCGGGGATTGCAATTAAGGAATCAGAAGAAGATTAGGAATGGGAAGGGCAGCTATGAAAGAACTAGACAAGATCTTAAAGTGCAAGGATATCAAACTGAACACCAAAGTTAAGATTGTACAAGCCGTCAGATGCCCCATTACCATGTATGGATGTGAGAACTGGAGAGTGTCGAAATCTGGTGGAAAGAAAATCAACTCATTAGAGACGTAGCACCAGAGAGGAATGTTAAGGATACTGTGGATGGCCAAAAAGACAAAGAATTGGGTCCTAGAACAGACCAACTGTCCTACTTTGTCCAGACCAGGGACGTTATCATACGGGGAGTCGTGGGGAGAAAGTGGAAATAAACCGGATGAGCGGAAGACTTTAATTTACAGGATTTGTCCTGTTCCGCCTCATCTGATAACTAAATTCGAATTTAAAAGGGGGTTAATTCAAACAAAAACCTGATCTTTTAATTTCCTCAAAAATCCCAAAAATGAAAAGATCAGGTTTTTGTTCGAATTAACCCCCTTTTAAATTCGAATTTAGTTATCAGACGAGGCGGAACGGGACAAATCCCGTAAATTAAAGTCTTCCACTGGTCCGGTTTATTTCCACTTTCTCACCGCGACTCCCCATGTGATAACGTCCCAGGAGAAGAGATGGCTCACTAGAAAAGGCAATGATGCTAGGAAAGGTGGAGGGCAGTAGAAAGAGAGGAAGACCACAAACCAGATGGATAGACTCAGTCAAGGAGACCATGTCCATAAGCCTGCAGGACCTGAGCAGGGCAGTCGAGGTTGAGGTGCCTCATCCACAGGGTCCCCATGAGTCAAGGTCTACTCAAAGGCAATAAACAACAACAACAACAGGGCAGGAGTAGGAAAATGTAGGCTTTGAGCCCTATGTTCCCCCCCCCCGGTTGATTTTTGTGATCCTCCACTCCTCTTGCTGTATGTGAATGACCTCTTCTGGAAGTTTCTAGGAGATATAACTTTCCTTTTAAATAAGGGGCAGTCCCCCCGTGTTGTTTAACCTTGGTTCCATCCTGTTAGTAAATTATGATAGGGTGAAGTCCAGAATGTACCACCACAACCCACTTTTTGGGCTGCTGCAAAAGCTGGAATTCTCTACTGACCATGCAACAACCAAAAGCCTCCCCCCCAATCCATCTTTTAAAATTATTTTTAAATTTAATGTTACTGAATACAAAAAAAAAAAAACAAAAAACAAAAAACAACATATATAGGCTACACATATTACATACAATCCATCATTTGTAACTAATAGCAATCACAAACTTATCAAAGCATTAAAACATCTTTAACTCTACTTTCCATCTTATTTGAACTCTTTATTAGTAATTGCACTTCTATTCTTTCCTTTTTCTTTTATTCAAATATCGACCCTACTCCTAAACCTTCTTATGTTATACCTTCATTTTCCAACTTTCTCCCTCTTCATTCCATATCTTTTCCCCTCATCCATCATCTTCCCACTTTCTCATGCCCTCTTACCCATGTTTTAAGTGACACAGTCCACCCAAAATGGCATTTTCCATTGAATTGCAGAGTGGGGAGATCAGTGGAGATGTGTCCCGCTATTTTCTTGTAGCTGAATACGCTGCAAGGATGCCATCTGCAGAGACATCCCGACATCCTGATCTCCCATGGAAGTCCCTGCAGAGGCCTTCTGCAGCACATCCAGCTCCATGAAAAACTACTGGTTGCATCTCTGCTGATCTCCCTGCTCTCCAATGACATGGAAATGGCCATGTTATGAGGGCTGTATCACTTAACAAATGGGTCGGGGTGTAGCACTGGATTGGGTGGATAGCTACGTGCCATATATATGTCTCCTGATGTATCCAAATTATAGCTGCCACACTGCAGAATTAATGCACTTGGTTTGTATGTGTTATGTGTCTTCAAGTCACTTTCTGATTTATGGTGATCCCAAGGCAAACTGATTGTGGAGATTGCTTGGCAAGATTTTCTTGGCAAGACTTGCCTTCCCCTGAGGCTGAGAGCATGTGATTTGCCCAAGGTCACCCAGTGGGTTTTATGGCCGAGCAGGAATCGAACCCTGCTCTATAGAGTTGTAGTCCAACACTCAAACCGCTATGCCACACTGGCTCCCCAATGCAGTTTAACACTCCCTTAACTGTCATGGCTGTATCCTATGGAATCCTGGGATTTGTAGTTTGTTGTGGCACCAGAGCTGTCTGACAGAGATAGCAAACTATCTCACAAAGCTACTAATCCCAGAATTCCATAGCATTGAGCCATGGCAGTTAAAGCAAACTGCATTAATTCTGCAGTGTAGATGCAGTCTGGGTCTCTGTTAACTAGCAGTGGTTCTTTCTATCAGAAGGTTTTCACTAGAGATGCCATGGAGCGGACTGAACCTTGGAATGTGTGATGTGTAAAAGGTCAGTGTTTAGAGTCAAGCAGATTTCTCTCTCCCCCCCCTTTCCATTCTTTTTATTAAAAATATAAGATTTCCAAGAATGAACTGCAGAAGAGGGAGAAAGAGGCGAAGAGAGAATCACCCTGAGATCTTTGGATAAAATGCACAAAGGGTAAATATTATCCTACTCAATGTACAGTAATGCTTAACTAAATTTTGCCCAGTATTAAATGGAAATATCAATGCGGCTGGCTACATAAAGGTAAGTGCCAAATGGTTTAGTGGTTTGAGTGCTGGACTTCAACTCCAGGAGTCCAGGGTTCGAATCCCCGTTAGTCAAGGAAACCTCTTGGGTGACCTTGGTCAAGTCACTCATACTTAGAGGAAAGCAATGGCAAACCTTCTCTGAACAACTCTTGTAAGAAAACCTTAGGATAAATCATCATAATTCAGAGCCAGCTTGAAGGCCCATACCAACACCACCGACAAAGCCCCTCTAGACCAACCAAAATAAAAGCAAGCCACTGCCAAAATTCAGTGGTGTGTCCTGGTGCTGCAATGGTTTGCAGCAGAACCTCAGTGTCGGACTATGAAATTCAGTGTCAGACATTCAGTGTCAGAAAAGCATGGGGGAAGATACCATTTGGGGTCACCACAAACATCTGATGCCTCCAGACAGCCCTAAATGTTCTGTTCTGCCTCTAGCAGCTACCTAGGACTTCTGCATAGGACTGATTTCTGAAGCTCTGTGGGTTGGGCAGCGGTGACTAGCCAAAAGTGTTTGCATTTTGGCATAGACATCACCCCAGTCGTTCCAGCCTCTTTCATAGATCCTGGCTCTGAAGTTTCAGAGCCAGATGTTTCAGAAGCGGCCAAGTCTATACGACAGAGATGGCTAATGGAGGCATGTGGATTCCAGGCATTTTTGCCTTCTTCTGGAGGGCTATCATGCCAGCAGGTCCTCCTGGGCTATTGTTCTTGCCCTCTTTGGATGGAGTGAGGATGGGAAATTGGAGAGGGATTGTCCCTTCTCCTGTAGTTGCCAAGCCATTGCCATCACTGCACTCTTGTCCTCCTATTTTTACCTCCTCCTGCTAACTTTGTATACCTATTTTTACCTCCTCCTCCTCCAGCAAGGGATCCTATTCCTACTCACTGGGGCTTACCTCCACCCCCAGGAAAGAATGAATAGGGCCACTTCCAGTTGGCAAACAATTCATATCAGACTTTTTTTTTTGTTTTGTTTCCTTGCCTTAATTTTGCAGTCATTGGCTGGTTTGGCCATGTAAATCCACTCCTTGGACAAGTCACACTCTCTCAGCCTCAGAGGATGGCAATGGCAAACACTCTCTGAAAAAACTTGCCAAGAAAACCCCATGATACGTTCACCTTAAGATCATCATAAGTCAGAAATTACTTGAAGACACACAACAACTGCACTTTACTTGCTTAGTGTGATAAAGTCCTAAGCAGTAGTCCTGACTATTTTGCATTTATTATTATCTTTTATTTATTTTAGAATCAATTTAGAATTATTTTAATTGTTGTAATGGACCTAATAGTGACTATATAATAATTTTCAAGCATGGTGGCACATATAAATATATTATGTGTTGGCTGGCTTCCTGTTAGTGACTATTTAGGCATGTTAATTTTCCCTGCAGAAGTGGATGGACATTTTTGCCCAATGCAGAAGTCCATATTCAGCTGAGTTGCACATGTGGTGACATTGCACATGGACACATGCTGATGTGCTTTTTGTGCATTATGAGTCTCACATGCAGACGTGCATTGCACATTGCAACGGTGTGTTTCATCTTGATCTGCACATGACTCGTGCAATGTTGCAATTCACTAATGCCCATTCTTCACATAACTCAAATTACATTCCATTTCCTTCGTATAGGATCTCAGCCTAAGTTTTTACATTTATTGGAAATGCAGATTAAAACAGAAGGAAACAAAAAAGCACTTTCCCCAGAAAGTCTCCCCCCGCACCAGCCTTATTGCAATTTCCCATCTCTTGTTTAGAGTATTCTCCATCTGCTGATGTAGCTTTCTGATATGTTTCTTGAAATTTCTAACCAAACATGTCAAAACAATATGTCTTTACTTTTAGGGCATTCAGAGACTGGAAGAAAGCACTTAGGAAAAAAAAAACTTCAAGAGGGTTTCACAAATATCTTGCATCCAGAGTCCATAATATTTCAACCATGTCTGTTTGGCCTGAGAAAGCTGCAGCTCTGTTCTCTCTTCAACAAAAGTTACAGTTGTTGAAAGCATGAGATATTGTTTAAAATTAATTGATGACAGGAGGAAATCACTGGCTTGGACCTTACATCCTCTCCTTGGAGGGGGAACTGTCTGGCATTGCCTGCCTCTACCCAAAAAATGCCCTCCTTGGATGTGACTGTCTCATTTAACAACAGAGGCAGGGGGAAAGGGGTGATCCACTTAGATCCACTTCCTTCCAAGTGGAAGCTCTTCACTCATCAAGTCTTGTTTTCCATGAAATCCCTTAAGACTGTCAGCCACCAGTTAGCTTAATTTAATACATCCAAAGTTTGGGAAAGTTACTTTTTGGACTACATCACCCAGCCAGCATGGAGTGGTGGTTTGGAGAAGGGTCGTCTCAACAGAATGATTCTCCCTTTTCATACCTCCACTAATGGATTGTGAAAATATCATAGAATCATAGCATCTTAGAGTTGGGAGGGAGAGTTGGAAAGCCACCTAATCCAACTCCATGCCATGCCAGAATACAGAATTAAAACACTCCTGAAAGATGTTCATCTAACCTCTGTTTAAAGACCCCCAAAGAAGGAGAAACTAGCACCCACCACTGTTGAAACAGAGAAATAGCTGACTTAGAGATATTCATAAATTCCAATCCATTAGCAGAGGTGTGAACAGAGACAAGGGTTTCTTGGCACACTACATCTATTAATGCATCTGTCCTCACAACCAAGTGTGCAGCAAAACAATTCTCCCCAACAAAGCATCTGAACTCAAGGGAAATGATTCTCAGTAAGCAGATGTATTGCTTTTGCACTTCAGGACTGTCTAAGAAACAGTCTGACAAAATAGCTATCACCTTACAAAATTGTTTGAAGGTTTACGGCTAATTTCATACATGGTAACTTTCGGTATCCTATTTCGCTCCTATCCTGCTCTTCACAACTGTCTAACTGCTAATATACCTGTGATTTGATATTCACTCCATGAGTGTATCTGAAGAAATAGATTGCTACCCATAAACTCTCATGCTCAAATAAACCGGTCTTAAAGCTGCTGTTAGATTCCTCTGTTTCTACTCCCGCATTTTTCATTTTATGGAGGAAACAAGTTCCTTTCTCCCCCCAGCTCTTAGGCCTTAAAAACCATGCTTAAGCGAAAATAAAGACTTACCTGTCAGTGATGGGGATGGGTGTGAAAAACAGAAGTGCTGGAGTAGGAGATTTACTGATGGAATTGAGCTTCTTCATTCAAGATACTTGGAAGTTCTTGAGAGTGGAACCCAATGCATACAGCATTAGGAAAGAAGCAACAACCCCCTCTCTCTCTCTCTCGCCCCTAAATATAGCAAAAAGGATGGCCTAATGGGGAATAGGCACTGGGAACCAAAAGAACCAAACAAGAAAAACAAACCCAAACTCCTCGTCCTTCATCCATGTTCCAATCCAAATCTGTTTGTGAGCGGTTGGCTCCCTGCCTGCATGTCTGTTCGAAATTTATGAAGTGACAGGGAAGTTGCTGAGTCTTTAAGCCCTGGAGAGAGCCCCTTTCTATCCATCTCTCTATCTATCTCGCCGCTTGTCCCTTTTCTTTCCTAGAAAATGTCTTGATGGCTTACAGTTCAAAAAAAGAAAAGAAAAGAAACACCAATGAACATTTTACAAATTAAATTAAATCACATTTCATCCCGCTTTTCTCCTAGAGAGCGGGTGTATTTGAGTGATTTGAGTGTTGGACTAGGACATTGGGAGACCTGTAAGTTTATTGCATGGCACTTGCAGGAACAGGAACTGAACAGCATGAAATGGCACGGAACGGGGTGAGAATGCATGTTACCGCAGGGGAGAATGCCGCCAATGCTGCCGGGAGTCCCCAGGCCATTCCCCATCTGTGCTATGGCAGCCAATTTTGAAGAATCATTTTGAACTGTTCTTCAAAATCGGCTGGCAGGAACGGCTGGGGAATGACTTGGGGACTCCCAGCAGCATTGGCAGAGTTCTCCTGTGCAGTAACGTGTTCTTGACCCATTCCATTCCATGCCATTCCATTCTGTTCAGTTCCCATTCCTGCAAGTGCCATGCAATAAACTTACTGGTTTTGAATCCTCACTCAGCCACAGAAACCCATTTGAGCAAGTCTCACTATCAGAGAAAGGCGATGGCCAACCACCTCTGGATAAATCTTGCCAGGAAAAGCCTGTGATAGGGTTGCCACAACTCAGAAATGACTTGAAGGCACACAAATAAGAACAACAAATTTTACTAGTGTGAGACCCATCTAGATCCCTAGATCCCTGTGGAAGGCATTTCCTCAGCATGGGAGCCACCACCGAGAAGATCCTCTCATAAGTCCTCACCAAAGCTGTCTATGATGATGGTGAGTCTGAGAGAAAGCCCTTCTCTGAGGATCTTAAAACTTGGGCAGGCTTGCATAGGGAGGTACGGCCTTTGCCAAGCCATATTTAGAATAAAAATATTGTAAAACACATAGAAAATGGATACCAAGTGTGAAATAGTGGTGACCGGGGTGGTGGTGGTATCTCCTTAAAAAAGGCTTCTATCCTAGGGGCCATTCACAACACACATTTGTTGTTGCTGTGTGCCTTCAAGTAATTTCTAACGCCTATGCTTCTATGGAGATTCTAAGACAAACATTGGAGATTATTGCAGCACTAATTAAACCAGTTTAGCTGAGCTGGCTTAAAATTTAAAATGAGCAGCATCCTGATTTTATGACAAGGGTTTAGCTGCCAAAATTGCCATCCAGGTGCAGCCCGGGTCCATCCCCACTCCCAGGGCTGCTCAGCGCAGCTTTTTCCAAAACTGGGAGTTTTCTGACTTAAGGAAATGGCTGCTGGAGTGGCCCTGGGAGTGCTGATGGACCCACGCTGCACCTGGATGGTGATTTCGGCTGCTAAATCCTTGTGATAAAATCAGGATGCTGCCCATTTTAAATTTTAAGTTGGCTCAGCTGAACTGGTTTAATTAGCACTGCGATAATCTTCATTTATAGCATTATTATTTCACTTTAACTCCCATGACAACATCCCATGAAATGATGGGGTTTATAGTTTGGGGAAGGACTGGAAGGCTTTGGATGAGAATT